GAAAGGGCTGAAGCAAAGTTCACTAATCGAGCACAGTTAAAAACTCTAGCATTTTGTATACTGACTTTTTATAAGTGACACGCGAAATCTGGTCAGCTACTAAGCGGAACAAAAACCTGTCATCGCACTGCATCGAGAAAACGACCCCGGGCGCCAACAGACATTTTACAGGGATCGAATATCCGTATTCGCTTTTCACTCCTTTCAGCTTCATTTAAGATCTTGTCGCTTTGCTGCAGCTATTCGTGCCGACCGCCGGCCATTACGCCTCGAGTTCGGTACAACGCTCGACAGCCGGCCATCGTCCAGTCCGTTCGCCGACAATGATACTACCGTCGTAAAGCTCTTGTCTCTGTAGCCAATCGGTCACTGGTTTCCATCCTGTTTTCACCCGCACGACAGGGCAACACGGTCATGCTGCAAACGCCCATTCTCATATCGATCTTCATTAGTTTAGCTCCGTCGAATCCAATTTTCTGCTGTCAGCCCTTTTAAGAGCTGTCTTCTCCAGAGAGTAGCGAAGGATATTCAGAATACAGGCCCTACATTTGCACAGCACAGTACTATCGCTGACGCCCTTGCCGTCTCAGAGCTTTTGTACCGATTTCTGGCTTTGTTTGACGACCGTCCGTTGCAATCGAAATACTTCCCAAGAACAAAAATGCCGGCAACTTTTCTGCGGTTGGGAATTGACATTAACGACAAGAAAGTTGTCGATATCATTTCAACCTCTTCGCATCCATCTTGCCTAGTTTAAACCGATGAAAAGCTCTGGACCAGAACACGCTGCTTTCAGCGCTACAAACAAAACGGCTGCCGTTTCAAAGCTGTCCGCGGTGACATAGTACGTGTGGAAGAATTTTCGTCCGGGATAAGATATCTACTCTTACCCGCATGTGCAAACACTGCTCACTCTTGGCGCTAAAATGGCGTCATGTGCTTGGCACTAGTTGCAGCAATCAGTCAAAAGATATCGCAAAGAGCTACAGAAATCCCATTCTAGAACTTATTACGAAAAAATCGGTTCAACCTACCGCCCACCCTATTTGCATCGCACCGGAGAAAAACTCATTTACCGTTTTAATCATGCGAATAACTCTGGGTGACAGCATCAAACAGGAAGCGCAAACAGGCCAAATGCAGGCGGACGCGCCTCGTGATCATGAAAGCTCGGACACGAAACTGTGGTCCATTTAAGTAAAATAAATAGTAACAAATAAAAAAGAAGCGAAAGTAAACAGATCAGGAAACAAAGAAAAGAGATAACGGCCTAGCAATACCTGTCCAAGAAGTTTCCTTTCCCTGCACTGGCTGAGCTGCTGCATGAGCTGCGACTGGTGGACAACGCTCAGGTGCAAACGTTCCTGAAGAGCCAGCAGTTGTCCCCTCATCAGGTCGCTCAGCTGCTGTCAATGAAGAAAAACAGCGTTAAAATGCTCGTCGTAGTTGTTTACGTTTATTCAATGCAGAAAAAGAATAGTCACCTGCTGATGCTGCATGTAAAAGCTCTGTTGCTGTTGCAGGAGCTGCTGCACGGCGGATGACGACGGCTGCAGGCCTCCGGAGGGGGTGCTGGCACCGCCACCACCCCCAGTCGCACCGCCGCCGACCAACACGTTCGGCGGCATCACCGGGTTTGGCGGAGGCTGCTGTTGCATGAGAGCCGTCGAGGACAGCGGGCCTGAGACCAGCGACGCGACGGCTCGGCTGACGGTCGTGGCGGAAGACGGCGCTGCTGCCACCACTACCGACGACGACTCAGGACACGGAGCAGCGGATGTCGATGATGCAGAGGAG